AGGTGCAGCTGACACTAACCTTGAAGCTGACTCCTCTGGGACCAGGGCCAGTGGTGACGGAACTTATAAACACACTTTCCTCAGCCCCCAACGGCAAAGCAGGAGACTGAGGTCCTCAGAGATCACTCGCCAGTCAAGGCAACGCCCATGGCTTCCTTATAGCTGTGTGGCCGGGGGCCGTGTGCATGGCCTCTTTAGCCGGACTTCCCCATCTGTAAAATGGGGAGAGCGGGTGCTCCTACCACGACTTCCTTTGGGGTTTTGTAAGACTGAAGTAGTGTGCTTCTGCTGTGCAGCACATCAAACAGGCTCAAATGACACTAGCTTGCGTGTGGGAACAGTTGCTATGTGCCAGGTCCCCAGCTAGATGCTTCTCCCTGGGGCACGGAAACCTGGCAGGCAGCACCGTTCACCACAGGTCTCACACGCGCCACGTTCTACAAGTTAGAAACAACTTTTCCAGTCGTCATACTCGCTTGTTCCATGTTCCTTTGCTCTCTCATTCATTCGTTCCTTCATTCACTCATTCATTCAACTACTCCCAGAGCATCGACTGTGCTACAAGCTCTGGACTCAGCAGTTGGGCAAGGAAGAAGATGGATCAGTTCCTGCCCCTTGAGAAGCCAGAGTCCGCTGGGGGAGGTGGATGGGGGAGTTATAATTCTGTGCTGTGAATGCTGGAAGGAGGCACACCCAGGAGGAGGCTGTGTGGGCTCCAGGGCAGGATAAGTGTCTTAGAGGAGGTTGTCCTGAGCAAAGCAGAGGCCAGCGTCTGCAGACCTTTGTGGGCCCAACATAAAGAACATAAGAGACCCTGATGGTACTTGGGAGCTACTGAGGGCTCTTGAGCAGAGGCCACTCATTGGATCCTCTGAAACACCCTGGCAAGGCAGACATACTCGGGGCTTGTGTGAGGGCAGCTGCGGCAAGGGCGATGCATATGGTGGTCCCGGGGGTGCAGGAAAGAGGAAAACGGTTCGGGGTGGGTGGGCAGGGCCAGCGTGGGAAGGAGGAGCCCCGTGTCATCAGCAAAGAGAGGCTGTGCATGCTCAGTGCCTGCAGGGGAGGCGCCTCCGCCCATCCAACCGCGGAGGACCTACTGTGTGTTGTCCACGGTGCTAAGCGACCCCAGTACTTGGAAATGCAAGAAATGTGGTCTCAGGGCCCACCCCAGACCTGCGGGAGCAACACCTGCGCTGCAGCAAGATTCCCAGGTGATCTGCACACACACTCGAGTCGGAAAGAGATTGGCGTAGGGCACTGTTTCAGTACTCTCCCGCACAAGGCCTAGGATGGGGCGCTGGGCAGTAGTGAGGGGCTCACAGGCCAGAACCTAAAAGCGGGGAAGGGGAAGGCTCCAATAGCACATCCTCCTCCTCTTCACACAGCACCTGGGCCCGCCTCTCTACTCCCCCGCCCGGGATTAGACAACCACTGCCTGGGCACCTCGGGAGGGGGTGGAAGGACAACAGCCCCATTTGCCAAATGCCTACGAACCCAGCTCAGAGCTAAACCGTCCTGCAGGCATCTGCTCGTTTTTAACGCTCCAATCAAACCCCAAAGGACCATTCTCAGTTTACGGATGAGGAGACCGGCTGGGAGAAACAACACGATCAGCCCAACCGAGGCTCCACGTACCCTGGGGAAACCACCCACCCTCCATCCCTGCCCTGGAGGCAGCTGACCCCTGGGGCCCCACATCCTCATTGCTCTGGGAAACAATTTGCATTTCCTGCCCCTGGCCATGGTGATTGGCTCAGACTCGGGCACATGACCCCATCAGAGCCAATGAGAAGCCAGATGACTTTTCTCCGGGCTCAGTGGGTAACAAATGTAAAATTAAAGGCCTAAATCCTAACTGTCTTCAAGTCTGCCTTGCATACAATTAAACTGAGACCAGGGGCCACAAGAACCGTGAGACCATCAGAATCTGAGCTGTTGCAATGGACGCTTTGCGAATACAATGCCCTGGATTAACAACATGCCTTTGTTTAGACAGACAAGAGAAAGTAAATATTTACATGTCAGTTTCCATTAAACCAGGGTGAAATTTAAGTCTATGAAGGAGGAGGAAGTTTTCCTGGACGATTAAAAGGTTTGTTTTAAAGTTCCAACAACTGTAACCCTGAGACCTTGAATGTTTATTTTAAGAAACTACATCTGTTAGAGAGTTTGTGGTAGAAATCTGTTACTGGAACAGATTCTCTTCTTGCTATGGTTCAACTTGAAGCTTCCTCACCAATTTTGTGAGGATCAACTCACCGACAAGGACCTGTCACTAACCTGGCTCTAAATAACTCAGCCACCATCTAAGAACACTGCTCAAGTCATACAAAAGTAACCTAGACGGTACCTAAAAGATTAACGATTAAAACACTACGCAGAATGTCAATTTTCTTGGACAGAAATTTGACGCTGCCGCCCCCATCGTTCCTGAGGCTGGAGCTAAGCCTGAGGAAGCAGGGTCTAAAGACAGGGGTTCTGATGACGGCACCTGAGCCCCCGAGTTGGGCTGTGCCACCAAGACTGATCCCTCTTTGTGCGACCAGCAATTGGCACCATGCTGGTATTTAACGGGTCCTCGACATGTGTCTGGGATTCCAAGCTCGAGTCCAGGAGCACGTTCCATCTGAGGCGGTCAGGGCAGGGTTGGGGGTGGCTGAATAGTTCTTCCTCTCTGCCCTGGCCTCAACTCTAGCTATAATTTTCTGATCTCAACAGAAACAGAAGTGGCTCTTTCCCTCCTATTTGGGAACACTTTGGCTTAGACCAAAAGCACTGAAACTGCTTCGGGAAATGAGACAACACAGGGGCTCTTCCAGAGCCACCCAGCACTCCGGGAAAGAAATAAATAGCACGTGAAATCCCCAAGGGCCCTGGACCCGCCCAGCACCCAAACCCAGCTGCAGATCTTACCGAATGGTGGGCTGGTCTCCACTCAGCTGCTTAAACCTCCGGTGAAGCTGCTCGATCTGATCCGAGGAGACTGAGAACAGGAAAGAAAGAAAAACATCAATGAATACTGAACTCGGGGCTATCCCAGGGGCGCTCTGCCCCATCCCCACTGGCTGCTGCACCCACTCACACAGCATCTCCTACCATGGGAGAATCGAACGCTGGATGAAGCAGCAAAAAAAAAAAAAAAAAAGGATTTCCCATTCTTAGCGGTTATGCAGCTCTGAGGCTATGAGTTCCGACCCCCTTAGTAATAATAAAACGACTATTACTAACAGCAGCTCCCGGGACAGGGCAGTCGTGAACCAGCCTTTGCCCTTCCTTGGCCCACTAATGAGCAACCTGTATTATCTACTCGACTTCCTCCTCTCCCACTCCTGCAGATGGGCCTTTTCCTAGCTGAGAAAAGGGCTTTGTATAGTCACAGACTGAGAGACAGCCGAGTAGCAAAGGGAAAAGAGGGGCTCAGGCTGCTGTTGGAAGTGATCTGGGGGACCTGTAGGGAGAAACGTGGAGAATCTAGTAGAGCAAAGAAATGGAGTTTTGATCATTGTTGCTGTGGGTGGTGTATCTGGATTCCCCTGATGAGTTTAGAACACCCACGTAGAGAAGTTTTATTATTAATATCATTTTCACTCTCGGGCCATGTTTCTGCCACAGAGCCACCTCTCAGACTGGACCCTGTGGGTTCCGGGCTTTCTCAGGGTTACACCCACACCCGAGTGCTTATTTGACGAATCGCACAACATTAAACACTCGCATGCATTTCTCATTTCATCCTCGAGACAACCTGATCGGTGGCGGGTACTATTGTCTCAGTTTTATAACTTGAAAACTGCAGCTCAGAGAGCCCTTCCGATCACCCAAGCGGTCAGAGGCAGAGCTGGGACTTGATTCCAAGTGTGTCCGACTCCAAAGCCAGCCCTTCCCCACCACATGGTATCGCCTATCTGCCCAGAGAACCTTGGCGGTCAAGGCCTGCAGGTCTGGTTCCTGGAGCTGTATACAGTTCAGACAAACCTTTCCAAAGCAGGGGCCGCGCCAGGGAGCTGTGACCTCCCACCGCGATGCTGCTGGCATCCCCCGAGCCTGTAGGCACCTTTCTCCTCTTGTTACAGAGGCAGCTAATTTCTGGGGCCAACTAGTCACTGTACTTCCTGCTCATTGTTTTTTGACCTCAGGCTCAAGCTGTGATTGTTTCAGGAGTCTGCAGCTTAGAATTCTCAAGCATCCTTGGCAGCTAATTAGGGCTGCCAACATGCCGTGGGCACGTCGCCACTGCTTAGCTCATCTCTGCCTCGCAACGCCGTGGGAGGGGGCTGTATCCCCACATCACAGATGTAGACGACAACACTCAGAAAGGTTAGTTAACTACTGGAAGCAATTTCTACCCTTCTGGAGGAAAATAGGACCATTTATATCACAGGTGTGTCATCAAGGGCACCGGCCTACTGTGTGGCCCGGCAATCCCACTCCTAGGTTTGCACCCCAGAAAATGCAGACCTCTGCTCACCCAAGCATGCATCCAAGGATGCGCATGGTGGTACTATCTGAAATCACCCTAAACTGGACACTCAGCAACGGCAGAATAAAGAAAATGTTAAAGTGTGGTACAAACAACAGAATAGTATACAGCAATGAAAATGGACAACACATAAAATATTGAGCAAAAGCAGCGAGATATGGAGGAATACATACTTTACGATTCTATTTCCACAAAATCCAAAAACAGGCAAAAACTCATCTACAGCATTAGAGTGAAGATAGCGGCTGTCCTTAAGAAGGGAACGGTCATTTGAATGGGGCGTGACGGGGGGCTTCTGGGTGCTGGGAACGTTTTATTTCTAGATCTGGAGACAGGTTACACAGCTGTGGTCTCAGAAACTTTAAGGAGCTGTATGTATGCTTATGAGTGGCACATTTTTCTGGATGTGTGTTATATCACAATAAAAAGCTCACTAAAAAAAAAAAAATCTAATTCCACTTGGTAGGAATTTATCCAAACAACAAAAAAAAGACCCAACAGGTACAAAAAGATGAATACACAAATGTGTGCACTTTTGCATTCTTTAGCTTAGAATTGGACTCAGCCTAAGCAACCATCAAAAGCAGATTGGCCAAATACTTTATGGTATGTTTAGCCAAGCTAAGAAAACACGCTGCCTTTAAAAGTGACAGTTGTATATTTGACATGGAAATGCATTCCGTGTATAATGTTGTCTAAAAACAGCTTGCTACAAAAGCAGCATGAACTCATGTTAGGGAAAATATGTAAATATACACAAATGTATGTGAATAACAAAAAAATCCTAGAATTACTTCCCCTGAAATAAATAATAGCAGCAATAATAATAATAGCAATTATCTGGCAACTCAATACTGGGATGAAAGACGTTTTGCTTTTGATTCACCTATATTTTCGAATTGTTCCCTAATATGCAATGTGTATGTGTGTGTGTGTATATATATATATAATGTTAGTCATATATTAATAAAATTTTTCAGCACACATGGTCCCATCTGGACAGCTGAGGATCCCATAAATATTTACGGATATTAATGAGTCATTCATTGGCTGACTATCGTGTCCCAGGACCATCTTATTTAATCCTTTCTATGACCCTACGAGGGACGCACTATCCTATTTAACAGAACTGAGGCTCAGAGGGGATGTGGACGTAGCTTGTTCAAGGTCACCGACCTCGACAGAGGCGGATCCATGATTTGAACTCAGTTTGTCAGGCAGAAAACATGTGGTTGTTTTGTGGGTTTCATTGTGTTTTTTTTTTTTTCCCACGGCCTCCCTTTGTGTGATCACAGAAAGTTCCTCGCCCTAACCCCAAAAGTGCACTGAATCTGATGAGAAATAATGATCAGAAATTACGACTACACAACATGCACCTGAACAACTGCTATTAAAGGTGAGTTACCTTGAAAGCATCGCAGTGAGAGAGAGTCACAAAGGCCACATGTTGTAAGATTCCACTGACGTGAGATGTTCAGACAGACAAATCCACAGGGACAGACAGCAGCCCAGTGGTTGCCCCAGGCTGGGGAGGGGAGAGCTTGGGGCAGGAGAACGGGGAGTCACTGCTAATGGGTACCCGGTTTCTCTTAGCGGATGATAAAAATTGTTCTCAAATTAGACTGTACTGATAGCTGTGCAAGCCCGTGATTACGCTAAAAGCCATGGGGTACACTCTAAATAAGTAAATTTCATGGTGTGTGAATATCTCAAAAAAGCCATTTAAAGAATAAGTTACGTGCATAATCATGACAACGACAAGGGCAGGCACTGACCCAGCACTGACTGTGTCCCGGGCTCTGTGCTCAGCGCTGCTGTAGATGAGCCTGGGCTCACATAACCCTCCCATCGGTCCTGTCAGGTAGGTTCGGTCCTATCCCCATTCTATCCTAGAGATGAGAACGCTGAGACTCGCCCACTGTCCCACAGCCAGGAAGGGGCGTGTCGGTCATCCCAGACCAGGTTTATCTAGTGAGGAGTTTCCAGCCGACTGCATTCAAAATGCACGCATGCAGGTGTGCAAACACACACACACAGACACACCCCCTCCTGTCCTGCCTGATTGAAAGCAGAGGATTAGCTCTGGGTCCCCAAATCTCAAGGGCTCTGCCACCGTAACTGGGAGAAAGAATGACTTCTGAAGCCTCATGAACTGACTTTCAAAACACCCCAGGCCCTGGCGGGTCCAGGTGGTTTAACTCCATGAACTCCAGAGAGCTGCCATCCACGTCGGCCCCCCTGGGCTGGCCCTGGGCCCCCACAGGGTCCCTCCCAGGAGCACCTGGTGCGCACCTGCATGCACCACGCTCTCAAGGCCCAGGGAAGGCCCCTCTGTCATTCCCTCCAAGGATCTTGGGAGGGAACCTCTTCCTTGCCTCAATTCTCACCTGAGCCCTTCTCCAGGGCCCTGCCAGGTCACAGGTGCCACAGGGACAACGGGCAGAGACAGGCTTTAGGCTCCTGGCAGCGCAACCTCATTTTTTTTTTTTTTTTTGAGACAGAGTCTCACTCTTTTGCCCAGGCTAGAGTGTCGTGGCGTCATCCTAGCTCACAGCAACCTCACACTCCTGGGCTCAAGCGATCCTCTTGCCTCAGCCTCCCGAGTAGCTGGGACTACAGGCATGCGCCACCATGCCCGGCCAATTTTTTCTATATATTTTTAGTTGTCCAATTAATTTCTTTCTATTTTTAGTAGAGATGGGGTCTCGCTCTTGCTCAGGCTGGCCTCAAACTCCTGAGCTCAAACAATCCACCCGCCTCGGCCTCCCAGAGAGCTAGGATTACAGGTGTGAGCCTCCGCACCCGGCCTAACCTCATTATTTTTGGTTTTAAATTTCAACCCGAGGGAAAGGCACAGCCTCCCATGTGGCCGGTGGGAGTTTAATCAGCCCAACCTTTTGGGGGTGGGGGTGACTTGTCACTTTGCATCAAAAGCTTCAACATAAAAGAAGGGGCCAGCCCTGTCCCATATGGCAGCCACCGGCCAGCCACATGGGGCTGCTAAGCCCTCAAGAGGCACGGAGTCCAAACTGAGATGTGCCCAAGTGCAAAAAAAAAAAAAAAAAATGTACACTATCTCAATTTTGTTATACTGATTATATGGTGAAATGACAGTATTTTAAATATAACAGGCTAAATAAAATATACTAAAATTAATTTCATCTTCTTTACTTTCCTTAATGTGGCTACTAGAAAACTTAGAATTCTATCACCTACACAGCTACTAGAGACGTGAGCATTATGAGCCTCACACTGAATTTGTACTGACTGCACTGGTGTATGTATTTGGAACCAGAACTCGATCCCCAGGAGACAATCTTGTCTTAAGACAAGGACACAAAAACAAACAGGTAAGAGTAACCACTGTTGCCTGTTTAGAAGATAAGAAAATTGTGGAAAATGCTGAGCCAAATCAATCCTGGGTCCAAATTCATCCCGATACATCCTGAAGTCAGACTACGACACTACTCTGCAGCCTTAAAATATATTTCAAAAAATATCGTGGG